ATTGATATTTGAGCATATTTGGAAAGGTTTTTATTTTTAATTTTGATAGCTTCTATTAAGTGGGGAAATAGAAACGACGAATAACTAGTTCCTCTTAAGTTTTATTTTTCTTGCTCTTTAATCCCATGTTTGTCTTCTAATTTTACAAACGTTTAGACAAGAATTGCTTTTAGAAAATACCAGGCACTTGATGCGGTCTGCAGAGAGTTTGAGAAAGTTTGTAGACCGTTAATTGCGAAATGAAATATATTTAGTTTATTTGTAATGCTAATGTATCAGTGCAATCATAAACTTAAAATATGCGTGTTATTCATTCGCAGAAAATTAAATTTATCCATCTTTACGGTTTATTTTATGCTTTACCGTCTTAATTTCTGCTACTATTCTCTCATAAGTAAAATTTTTCATAGCGGTAATTTTCGAACGTAAAATGAAGGTATAAATAACGACCAAAGCAAGTGGCGGAATCATAAAGTAAGCAGAGTTTATTGCGTTCATTCTAAATAATGGAAGAAGCTGACGCAACGGTGGCATTAAGAAGAGAATAAAGTTGAACAGAAAAATATGAAATCAGACAAAATTCACTGAATTGGTAAATGAGAAGTCTCAAATCGACTGAAGTCGATAGGCAACAAAATTATATTCAAATGAACGATTAAAGAGATTAAAATATCAAAACAAAAGTCGTTTTTGGAAAAAATGATTGCTCAAGCATCTATTTCCTTACCAACAGCAACTTTACAATAGCGAGGTGTTTGATCCAGAAATTTGTGAACGATTATGAGTTGTAAAGGAAATAAGTCTCAAGTTATAAGACCAGAGCATAGAAGACAAATAATTTCTATAACCATTGAAAAATGAATGAAATAGTCTCCAAAACTTAGTTATAAAAGAAATGGCTAAATTTCAAAGTGGGTTCTTCTATTTTAGTGGCTTTGTCTTCTGCTGGCAGACAGAGAGTACGTATCGTAGTTCCTGAACAACAAGCACAAGGATCCGGACACTATGAGGAAATTTCCAGCGGCGGATACGGAGGCGAATATCAAGGAGGTAGTTTGTTAAATTGTTTTATTTTTGCAAGATCTTTAGAATTCTTCAATGATTGCAGGTCATGAACATCTGGCTGTAGACGAAGGCAAAGAAGAATCTGGAGCGGAACTTACCAGCCTGGCTCATACTTCGGCTGTTCAAGCTAAGAACGCTGTGCAATCTCAACATACTGCCGGTAGCCAGGCGGCTTTTGGAATCAAGAGTACTTTGGCTAGTGCCGCTCAAGGGGTGAGTTAACGATTAATAAAATGTAGCTCAAAAATCATACTGCTAAAATTATTAGATTAAATTAACTGGAACGTTTTATCTGTGAAAATTGCCCGAATATTCAAGAGCGAACAGTCAGAATTCTATTGCGCCTACACAACTTAAAAGTTTTTCTTTTATGGGACTTTTAATTTTTATATTCCTATTTAATACTCATCTATACTCTGGAGACTATCAAGAATTCAAGGATCAAACAATTTGAGCTTGACAATATTTCAAAAATTGGAACGTATGTACACTTGCAGCTAATTAGAAATAATAACAAATAAAGAACACTTTTAAGTCTTATTTCTTCACATATCACCAAAATACGTTCAAAATAAGCTAGTAAATCTTATGATTACCAATGCGTAAGGAAGAATTACTGGGAGTTTAAATAAAAATTAAACTCCAGCATATCGAGGAAACAAAAAATTAAATTATGGAAAAATCAGGCTTATTCATTAACAAAAAGCTGAGTCGAAAGGGAACTTCTACTTTTTATCATTTAATATTCTCCACATGAAAATCAATTCTATTAAGCACAAAAATGGGGAAACGTTAAGGTAAAAATAACTCGGTTAACTTAAGTGGCAACTTAAGAAAACGCACGAAAATTTAGAAACGAAATCAAAGGTGCAGACAGACAAGAATATAATAAACGTATTGAGAAAAGAACACAATTGATTAATCAAGTAAAACTACATAACGACAATAAATGAGAAGGACAATATATATCGCACAACTTTACACCCCTGCAAGCAAGCAATGAAATTTTCGTCTATTCGCAGATTTTTTAAAGTTTTGAGTTTGCTATAACTAGTTTTATGTTTATGGAGTTTAAGAAGTTTTATCAGTGCGTCACTTAAATTTTTTTGCAACAAATGCCTTAAAACCACTTACCAATTCTTAAAGAAAAAACTATCGACTACTTCTACTACTACGAAAAAGATAGAATGGTTTGAAAATATCCGTTTGACACGAATGAAACCTAGTTTGCTAAAAACGAAACCAATATCAAAATGGAATATGAAATAAAAAGACACATAAAAGAAAAATAAAGAAAACACAATATGAAAAGTTTAAGAGTTTTTAAACATAAATTATTAACATCCTGGTACAATCTGGAGCTATAGGAAAGCCGCTTTTCTCAACTAATTTTTCGAAATTCTGGTTTTAACTCCAATCTGGACCAATTTCAGCGTTCCCAATAATCGGATAAAGTAAAATATGAGTACATCAGTTTCCGGTCCACTTAAGTAAAACAATAATTGTTTAGAGTAGAGGTAGACACAATAATAAATAAACTAAAAAATCTGTAGGCATTACAAAGTGCAATGGAAATAAAAATTTTATCTGAACCGTAAAAAATCAGAGTTGTTTTGCTAAATTAGTAAAAGAACACGCTATATATAAGGTGATGAGATTATGTACTATTCTTGTACTTTAAGAGAAAATGATGTTAACAATCTACTCGACCATGATCTGAAAGATATGGTTTGAGTTCAGTTAAGCCCACGACCTGCATATAAGGAAATGACAATATTTAAAAGAACACATTTTTCTTAGGCCGCCCAAACTGCTCAAGCCGCTCTGGTGGGAAAACAGGCCATCGTCTACAGCTTAAAGAGACAAGTATCCGAAGCGGAAAAGAGACTCAGCGGTGAAATTTCTCAATACCATCAAGCCGAACAGTCCGCTCAAATCTCCCAACAGTCCGCACAACAAGCCCGATCCCAAGCAGCTACACTAAGCGCTGCTCTAGCTTCGGCTGCCAGTAAGTAACATCCAACTCAGTTTAACAATCAGAAGAAAATTCGATTATCTCTTGACTCATCTAAATCGTTTTCTAGGTGGAGGTCAACTGGCGGAAAAGGCTGCAGCTGAAGCTGCAAACGTTGCCGCCTCTCAACAATCTATGGTAGCGCAAGCTAAGCAACGCCTCTCCACCTTGATTCATCAGCTGCAAGAAGCCGTACATGATCTGAGCGAAACTGAAGCTGCCTACTACAAAGCCGCCGAATCAGCGCAACAAGCCCAAAGCAATGCCGCAGCAGCTGGTGCAGCTGTTGTAGCTGCCAGCGCCAAATCGCAACAGTCTTCTGGTGGATCCAGCGGGCAATATGGACATCACTGAATAATTTTCCAAATTTATTTTTATGCTTTGTGATCAATCAATTGAAAATTTTGTTTTGTAAATAATCGTTATTAGTAATAAAGACTACATTTTTATGCTATTTTCTTGGTGTTAGAATAACCAAAACCCTTTTTTGAACAATTTTTCGACAAAATGTTTTGCACCGCTTTGGTCCAGATTTTATTTTCATAACGTATGAATCGACAAAGTATAGAATGACAGCAACTTGTGCTATGCCGACGACACAATATTGATAACAAATAATAGTGGTCAAAACATGTCAGCTGGATATACAAGGTATATCTACATACATACGCTCAGCAAAACATTGGATCTTGAATACACAAGGTGGAAAAAATAATTTATATATTTTACGAATATTTTCCAGTTTTGTTTTTGAATTTTGGCCTGAAATTTCAAGTTTCCGGATTTTCTATGGCAGAAAATGTGGTTGTATTCGTGTAATTTTGGATAGGCGTGGGTGAAAACAGAAACCAGCATTTCCAACATGTAAAAACGTTTTTGTTAAATTTTAATGTAAACTGTTTTATATTAAAACTGAAAACGTAGTTAAATCCTGGATTATTTAAAACAAAAACCGTGTTTTCTACCATTCTACTAGTGCCAGAATGATATTTTATTGGACCTATTTGCGAAATTTTCCTCATTTCTTCTCTTTCTTGGCGTTCTGTTCGCCTTTATGCAACGTTTATTTTTTCTGCAGCAGTTTGAATATTTTAAGGCTCAACCAAATTTAGCTCTACCTCGTTTTCAATAACAAGAACCCTAAAAAAATACAAAAACACTTATAATACAAGTAAAGAATAATATCAGTATCAAGTTTGGAGAGAGGATAAAGAAAAGTTACAAAATCTGCGCGTAGCTCCTTGAATAATTATTAAATCGCGTAGAGAAACAGAAATCGCGAAAGTACATTCAAACGTTCCTAGAAGGAGCATGAAGTGTAAACAGAAAAATCAACAAAAGACGGTTATGAGCAAATACAAAATTCAAATTCAGCAAAGCAATGCAAAAACTAAAAACTGACAAATCACCATATTATTGAAAAACAAAAACAGAAGTGACATGGGATCAGAAGGGACGGAGATAATGATCAATATAAACGATAAAATTTCAGAATAGCTGGGAATGTACTATCGAAAAATTAGTCTTAGAAAATATAATAAAGCTATAAAATATTTGAAAAAATAGTAGAGTAGAGACTGAAGTAGCGTGAAATTCAAACATAATCGAGTCAAATAAAATAAAAATGGAAAAGCAAATTCTCTACAAACCACATTTTTTAACTTTCAATTTAATGAACCTCTCTTATATTGTGTGTGTCTATAATTAAAAGCTGAAAATAAACCCCTGAATGAAAAATTTAGCCAGGCACTTAGTTCCTTGTGAGAAGAGTAACAAATCCGGCAAAAAGAGTCAAAAATACTCAAAAATCTTGTAAAACGCTTTCACAAAAAAGGGATTAAAAGAAAATAACAAATTAAAATAGACTAAATTTGTTTAAAATTAGTTTTAACTAAACAATCACACAGACATAAATAACCGATCAAAATAAGTAAATATATTGAAAGCAGGAAGGGAATTATCGTATTTTATATACATTGTGTGGAAAAAATGTGTTCTTTCTTTCCCCTTATCAGTCAGAAATTACCACAACATTAAAGAAAAATGAGGTGATCACAGTATACAGTAATTCTTCAATCTTAAAGTTGAAATAATTGCCTAAAATAAATGGTGTGACAATGCAAAAATTAAAAGTGTAATTGTGTCTCATACCATCTCAAAACCATCTCAAAACCATCTTCTTAAACCAGTTAGAAATTATGGAAAGTAGAAGTAGAGCCAAAAATAAATCTAACAGTGTCGTATTTTGTGAATGAATAAACAAGACAAATTGGTGAAGAGAAAATGGAAAAAAGTAAAACCGGACGATATCAATTTACAAGGAAATTAAAAATCAAATAAAATTTGGCTATTGGGACAGTTACAGAGTGAAATTCGAACGTCGGCATTTTAGGGGCCTTAATATGGATGCGATTTTTGCAAGCTCTTGGCCATAGTTTTTGAAGAGACTACTTCTAGCCATTTGATTTTATAAACCAACGATACAAAACATTTTCTATAAATTTCATCCAGTGCACTTTTTAGTACTTTGAGTATGAAGCAAGCGTATTATAAGTATTGCATTTGTTGATCCCAAGTATAGGATAAAATTTGTAGAATAGTTGTACTCAATACGTCCAAAGTGGACATGGAAAGTTACAAATATTGAAAACGAAATACCTCTTCCGAACGTTTATTTTAAAAAATTAAGAACGGAAAGTAAATTTATTAATCAATGTTATTTATTTATTATAAATACAATTTTCAATAATAAATACTTAATCACTCGTTATACAGAATCGTTAATCACATCACAAGTACAATAACGGAATAAGGCAGTTTGTCCATTACAAAAACAATAAATCGATTATATGAGTTAACAGTGCCGCAGCAATCGCCTCATAAGATAACAATACAAGGGTTTCAAAGTGTATCTCCAAGTACGTATTCCGAAGTAGTCGATTCCGATCATACCTTTTTTGTCCAAAAACCGATGCGAAATATTGCAACTAAAAACGCACTAATTGTGTTTTTATTGCTTTCAATTTTCATGTTTATTAGACAACAATTTCCTCTAATAAGATTGAAAATATTTTCAGATAGATTTGCATGATTGTAAATGATTCCCAAACATTACTTTTACTGCTTTAAGATTCAAGATGGAAAATCAAGATGGAAAATTAAATAAGTTTCTGTAAGGAAAATAACTAATAATCTCGATTTTTCAAAGTGCTTTAATGAATATAAACTTAACATCTAATCAAATTTGACTATAAGACCAAAATACACATTCGTTCTCGATTTTAAGAGTGAAGAATTTTCGAGAAATGCTAGATTTGAAAATCAGTTAAATTAGTTGTACGATTTAAACGGAATTTTCCTGTGAACAAATGTTTAGCCTTTACAGAAACGGATCAATTTGTGAAACAAAATTCGGACTAGTCTTAATAAAGAGCACGATAAACAGTCAAATTCAAGCACTAGCAGATAAACTATTATTGGAAAAATAAGGAAAAAATATGAGACATCAAGACTTAAGTTTTTAGAAAAATTCGTTTATAATCGGGAGTTGGCGCTACTTCATTGGGACACCCTGATTTAGTTGTGTATACAATGTTGTGTATATGATGCTACAAGTTGTCCCACGATAAATTTTCCAAATATAATATAATTTTTGAATATATGTAAAATTTCTCATAAAGTTCAGTTGTTTTTATTCCAGGAATCGGTGTTTCGCTATCTTCCATTCATTATGGGAAATCGTATATAATAATTTCTGTTGTGCTGTTAAAGTGTGCAAAAAAAATAATTGCACTTACGAAGTTTAACTTTGGCAACAAAATCCCCGATTTTGCTTTCTCTGGGCCCAAATTAAGCTAGACCAGTTCAAAAATTGGCCACTCGTACAAATCACCCTGTATTATTGTGAGATTTACGTTAAAATATCGCAAGTAGCATAATTTAAAATTGTTATTAATGGAGAATAACTTGCATGAACAGAAACTGTTCAAGGAGTTTAGTGACAAACTCTAGAACCAAGCGAAAGAAGAATGAGAAAAATTCTATTCAACAAAGTTTACATATTTAGAGTGAGAATTCTTCTAAACTTCTTTCATGAATTGCCGCTTGAAAACGGCCAGAATAACTCGAGGAATGTCATAAACGAGGTAAAAACGTTGAATGGAATTCAGAACAGCAGACCTAAATTCATCAATTGCAATTCTGATAAGAGAAATAAGAACAAATTGTACATTTTTCGCTTCATTTATAGCTTAAGATGTTTTGACTACAAACAAATATTGCCAGTGCCATACTCAATGTTTTTTTGACTTTGGATGATTTGCGATTCCATCCTCAAAACTCCTGTAAATCTGCAACACTTACATCCTTTGTACATATGTTAAACTAGATGAACGCGTGTTAGTATGCAGCATCCGCACTTAAGAAACTGCGCACTCTAAACGAACCACCCTGTATATTCCGTGTTTCTTCACATTGGCAAGTTAACGTCGATTAGATTTTACATTATTACGTTGTGCAAAGTCTTTGTAAGTAGGTACTCTTACCAATCATAATCGGCCTTAACAGGCAGCTGCGACACTGTTTACATATTCAAAACGCTTTCACAAAGACTAAAATTAAAACCTATGAAAATCCTGAATTATTCGTTGTACTAGAAATCCATCCGTGCCTATACCATGCTTCCAAACATTCGTTTGCCTCTGGTCAGAATCATGCTTACAGCCATCACAGAAAGCAGGAAGAACACCAGGCCGAGGAAGGAGGTGAGTACGCGACATCGAAATCTCCATTTTTTGTCTTCGCGAAGACGTTTGGAGAGCAATTCGGATCGGGGCACGTCCAGTGTAAAGTCGGCCTCCGGGCGTCCACCAGGCTGAAAAAAAACAAAAACAACAATGAGATTTGAAAAACAAATATCAAGACTTCTAAGGCTATTTTTAGGTTGAAACCCACTAATTTTCAAAACAGCTTAGTTCTTATTCATTATGAATGACTCTTTATTGGTCACTGGCCAATGTAAAAAAACGATAAATATTTCAACAGAAACAATAAAACAATCCAGAAACAAATGAAAAACCTTTGTTTACAGATCGGTAACAATTTCCCCATTAATTATTGGACATCGTAAGCCTTTCAATGTGCGAAACCAAAAATCAATGGCATGATTTCAACTTATAAAACAACCACTTTCTCCGTTATAATAATGGACTTACGTCATGGCAATGATTGGGGCAGACCGCTTAATGTGTCATAGAAGGTAATGGTAACCCACTGAACCGAAATTTCAGACAACTTTGATTCCATTGATTGTGCTATTGAACAAGCGGTGAATCATAATTAATCGATCAATTGATTATTATTCAGTAAGCGATATGTTGATTATTTTAATTCTGCAGATTATGCGATAAATTATATATCATTTCAGATATGGGAATGTTGCAAAGATGAGGGCACAACCTTAAAATTACATTTAAAATTATTAAAATATTGCAAAATTCCATAAAAATTAACGTCTTCATTCTTGTACTAGCAAGCATATTATTCACATGGTCACACCGTCAAACCGTTTTGAGTCAAACCATTTTCTATATCAATTAATTTGCAAAATTTACCCCGTATTAAATTTTATTTAATCCATTTGTACATTTTCTAGAAATTGTCTAATACAGGATGTCCTCTAATTATATGGGGAATATGTTCGGAGTAAGGAAAAGTATATAAAAAATGTATAAAAAAGCAGAGACAAGTATAATAAATTGAGAGTTTTAAAATAGACTTTTTACATTGAGTTTACAAAGCAATGATATAATGGTTACGTATCAATGCTCTCTCTAACTACATGAGTTCCATCACAGAATCGAAAATTTTATCACAAAACTGGTAATTCCCATGAATATAAAATATTTTAGATTCAAAAGCTCAAAAAATTAGCTTGTAATAACAACACACTATGGATTTCCGACATTTTTTGATGTAGAAGATTTGATTTATTGAGAGTCTTCACATGAAGGGTGGACTTTATAAATGTCTGACATTGTTATACACATGTTTGAAGAGCGTAATAAAAAAACTAATCAAACACACGTTTTTTCTGTTTCTCCACAGTTTGATTGGAAATACAAAATATTGCGTGGATTTGGCGGATCTGCATCTGGAGCTGGTGCTTCTTTGAAAATTATTTTTTTCGACCAACAACTTTACAAGAAATAAAAATGCTCTTCTTCAGTCCTTCACTGTTTGATGATTTTTTGTTTATATTTAATTTATTTTGAGTTTTAATTTTCAGTTTTCTGTTCTGTGCGTTTGGGAAGAAAGAATATTTTCAGTTATTTGATTTATATCTTTTAGATATGAATAACGTTATTTTGAAAACTTACAAAAGCTGTACGGCATTGTACAATTTCGTTCTTTTTATTGAGTGAGCGTAAGCTCATTTTCTACTGCTTCACTTAAAGTGTTCTTAAAACGTTGACGAACAAGTTGAGAAATAAAGTTAAAAATATTTATGAAAGTTCCATATTTATTTTCTGAATTTTCAACTCATTTTTAACCTTTAATTACAATTATTAGAACAATAAAATAATTATGAACAAACAAAACGCTTGTTCGTTAGGGTTAAGCACCGCAATTAACGACTTAGCACACAGCCAAACTAACCCAAACATGATTAATAAGTGGTACACACCTTATACAATAGTTATGTAAAATAAAGACTAAACAAAGCAAATATATGAAGTTAATTGATACCATATGATTACGGAATTGGTATTGAAATAAAGAAATTTTTGCAAGAAAGTGCTCAATAGACATTTACTTAATCAGATATTATCTAACACTTTAGGAATTTAAAAAAGCCGAAAAATCCATAAAAACCTTCCAGCACGTTTTATTCGCTGATCATTATCAGTTATTCAGGTGGTGCTGCAATGTGATTATTTAATGTGTGTGTTAATTACATTAAAGTTAATACACAAGAGCTGAAGAAAAAGAATTATAATTTGTACCTTTTCCAACATAGGCTCAGTTTTACAAGGAAATTTGGTTCTATATTAAGTAGGTTATCGATGCTATTTGTTGGATGTCTTAAAATTGTGTCGTTTAATTTCTTCGGGCAGCGAAAACAGTTGAAAGTGTTCTTAGATATCCCTCACAGCTGTAATAAACATTATAATTTAGATGCTAATGAATGTTCTGAAGTGTCCATGAAAATAAAATAAAAGACGAACCACGCGTTAATAGTTTTAAAAATGCAAATTTCAAATTTTATTGTTTTATACATAAAATGAAACCTTAACATATTAAGTCCTTGGACATGGTGATCGGCGTTGAGGAACTAAATAATGAATAACTTCCGTTTTACTCATGCCTAAACATATTAAGCAGTCCGCATATCAATCATTTGAAGATTAATATTTAATGGATTCGATATACAAATTGAGTCATTGATAGAAGTTTGCAGCAGTAACATACTTCTGAACGATGTATGACTACATTTTTAACTTTGCTTTCAATACAAAGTATTTTTAAAGTATATTCTAATCAGTTGGGCTCGAAGTTAGAAAACGCATTTATTCACCTGGTCAATGACTACAATAAAATCAAATAAAGACAAACTAATTGCAACTAGAGCACTAAAACAGAGGGCAGGGAAAACTTGATGAATTATCTCTGCTATTTTAGTCACTAAATATAAGCGATAGTGGAAAAACTAAGAGAAAAATCTTTACAACTTCAAGTTGAAAACATCCGGTTAACCCATAAATTGAACAACTTTACCATAAAGGAGATTGATTTTTTACTTACTAACACAAATGAAATTAGACATTTCTCCTTTTGCAAAAATGTGACAAAATTAGTTTGTTTTATCAAAACGGTATGATTTATGTTTCAAATAAATATTTCCTGCTATCCTTTCCCCAAAACAACATTTAAGCAGGTTGGCCATTTGAAATTAACGAATTAGTAAATTATTGCGCAACAAGTAAATGTAAGTTTATATTATAAACTAATAAATTTCACACTGTATGGTTCTTATTATAGCATGTTACATGTCTTTATGTACCTATGCGTTGGCCGCTGTTAAACAAAAGTGGTTTCGATTAATATAAATTTATGATGCCATCTATGTTTCCTTATAACCAGGAAAGTCCGAATTGCATATGTGTAAACGATGGTAGTCACTGGAGCTGAAAATCTTGCCGTAATGAGCATAGTTTATGTTAGAAATTGTTCATTTAGTAAGAAACTGAAAGAAAATACCGAGTAATATTTTATAGTACCGTTGGGTATTTGTAGACTAAGTGAAACGACACTGTGAATTAAATATCATGGAAAAGCGATTGATTTCAGCTGCAAATATTTCGCTAAAAGTAATTAAAAGTCCATACTGAAAGAAATACTCATAAGCAACGATTAAGACCGGGTTAATCGAAGCAAGCATATGGAAGACCGTTGAAAAAATTTGCGAAGTTATTAAGTGATAGCTGAAAATGCGCTTTATTGTACCTTCTCACCACCGTTTTTCTCAAAAAACTTGATTTTACAATCCGACGTCGTTTTCAAGCTCTTGTAGGTTCTTCGAAGCACAGTTGCCTTTCATTTTGCAAATTTCATTTGAATGTTTTATTGAGACTCGGACAGTTTTTTAGAGAGACTACTTACTTGGACGGGTATTTGGTTATATTTTTTTAACAGTAATTCTTGAACTAAAAATAGAATAGATAAAATCTATAAAACTCAATGAAATATAAAAATTTAACTTTTCATCTGAAACTCAAAATAAATCGCCAAAAAGTAAACGACTAAACAACACCATTTCTGCTAGTTGTAAAATTGATTGTAAATATGATTAACAATTTTACAAACAAATAACAGGAAAATATAATAGATTGAACAAAACGAATCTAAAACATATAAACATAAATTTTTAATTATACAGAGTAACTCCCTACAAATTGTTTCACGTCTTTAATGATCTTGAAGTCTAAAAATCTTCCGAATCAAAATTAAAGATCAACACGTTAGAGAGTTGTGTATTTTTTTTACATTTTAAACACTAATTTATGAAAACAAAAAAGCGACCAATTTCGAAAACAAAACTCGAAAAATTTGATAACAAACCTTGGAGTTTCGTGATGAAAGTCATGTAATAACTGTATGTATCTAATAGTAAAAAATAACATATTCTGTAGAAATACGCCCATTTTGATAAGACTCTTATACCTACAGGCTAACTGCTCCACATATTATTGCTAGTGTCCACTTCCCTTAAAAGTCAAATTTAAATCAACATTATATACAAACAATTTAGGAAATTCAGAAAATTGTTATATTCTTCTAAGCAAAGTTTTTCTTTCTGACAAAATTGATCGTCATCGTCAAATTGAAACAAAGAAAAAATAGCATTTGAGGAAACCAAACTAGGAGGAAGTACAGAAACGAAGTACATACACATAAATTAAAAAATTAAAAGTAATTGAAATTTGTTGAAGCTATGGTTCGAAAAGAACTCGAAAATTCTGTGGACTCCTTCTACGATGATACTATTAAAAAGACGTGGGGGAATTTGCAGAAATCTTAATCCGAAATTATAAATATTAAAATTTCATAGCTTAATGGTCAACATGGTCATGAATACGTAATTTAATGGCATCAACACTTTTGTGAAAAAAATTTTTATTACATAAATTTCTTTTTTATGACACCGGATTTCGCTTTATTGCTACGTTTAACTTTCTGATTACGCTCCTTTACCTGAGAATTGACTTTGAGGAGATTTAAACGACAAATCTTTGTCCATATGCGGAATGAATAAAATTATATAAATAGCTTTGATTGTGTCTCGTTGTTGGTAGCCCTGAAAAACGCATTATTATAACCATTGCCTCTTAAAGATAAAGAAGTTACAAACACATTTAAGAAAGAATGGCAATAATTGTTTCGCGGAAACACTCCCACTATTTAATATCTCTTAAGATAATAATGAATACTTTCAATAACTATACTTGTTAGTTATTACAGTGATGATGAAACTCCCATCTAAACAACAAATATTATCATTCTAATGGTAGCCAATGTATTGACCTTTACAGCGAATTATTCTAATAAAAATGGCAATATGACACAGCAACAAAATTTTGATTGATAAATTCCCTTGTAAGAACAGAAGAAAGAGAAGTAAATACATAATTATTCCTGTCAGCTTACTTCCGGGCTTTTCAAAGCTAATGGAGCTGGTAATTTATCAGCAATTCATTGCATTGTTTAGATAACTATTTCAATAAACACTAATGCTTTTGAAGCAAAAAATTGGAATTTACATTTACAGCATTTTATGGGGTGATTGCAAGTTAGTGCCATTCTTTTAAGCAGTTTTTGAAGGTTCTTTAGACAATAAAAGTATATTGGTATATCATTTTGTTCTTGGACTGATATTTCATTATTTACAGAAGAACCAACTTTTAAACCCCAATTTCACGCACATTTCCACAAAATACCAAAATTCTACAATTCAATGAAATAAACATTTAATAATTGAAGGATTGTTTCCAAATGTATTTTTATTAGATTTTCCTTTACTCTCTCGATAGCATCATAAATCAAATAGATAAGATTGGAGCATAAATTTTACTGTTTTACCATAAAATATGTGTATTTAATTTTGTGTAGACATGGTCAGTTACGTCTATGTCAATAGACAACCTCTTCAGACAATAATTGACCGCGATTATCGAGATCGTCTCGAGATTGCAAAACTCTTACGTAAGAGCAGTTACCAGTCATGAAAGAAAATTGCTACTTGCCTTAAAAAATGCTATAAAGTTTACACAGGTGCCACACTTCTGACGATTCAATCAATCTGCCGTTGTAAAGCTTAACATCGTGAATGCACTATTGAGAATGATCCCTGTCCACTCTGACTTTCTTGCAAATATATTAAAATATAAACGTTCCAAACATATTCCAATTGTTGTAATGTTTGCTTCTAAACTGAAAAAAACTGGTTCAATTGTAAAATCATATTAAGTGAAAAATGATATTTTCAGAACCCGAAATATTCGAGAAAGGGTCTACATTTTTGCCAAAGTTATCGAATCGTGAATTTTAAGTGCTTTGATAGTCAGCACAATTGAAGTAATAAGTGTTTCATCAGTTGGTACTTGTTTAGTGAAAGTCGCATTATTTAAACTAGGCAGTCGTGACAATATTAGATATAGCAAGGCTTCTAGAATAATTAAATCATTCGTTTCGATCGTTCTCGGATAAAAATCAAAAACCTTAATAAATGCACTAAAAGTTCAGCACGTTTAATGAGAACAATGTACAAGAAATAGTTGGCTTAAGCAGCTGACGCAAAAATGTGTATAAATCAACAGATACACATAAGAATCCAAAAGTATTACCAGTTTGCCGAATAAAAAACTAGAGATTAATGAGTTAACAATAGCAGTACAATAGGTATCATGCTGAAACAGAAAAAACCAAAATGTAAAATAACTCAAGACTGAAAATATCACTCTTGTAGTTACAAAATGCTGCTCGAATTAAGAACCATATACGTAATAAACAGTAAATATAAGCTTGATATTAAAAATATACTGAAATATTACATAGTCTTGAGCCATTCATTGGCAACATTGAACAATTAAGAACAATATACAAAAACCGTAAATAGAAAATTGATTTAAAAAATGTACTGAAATACTATTACACATTTGTGAAGACAACGTTTTGAGCGATTTATTGGCAACATTGTTTCCATCAAGGTATTTCAAGGCCTGCAGCATCCTCAGGCCAATTCGGAGAAAGTGGAAAAAGCAAAGATCAAGAATAATTGACCGGCGATCATGTTACCAAAGGAATTCTTCACCAGACACAGCAATAATTCCTGGTTTGCGAATGGATGTCAGATCGCATATGTAACGAAATTGTATGTATATTAATTTAAAAAGAGTCTAGACGCTGATGAAAAGCCAGCAAATTATAACTGTCCATGTTCTTTATTCATATGTGATTGCTTAAATGGTAGCCTACATGACGATTTTAATGTCCAAACTAATGAATGAACGACTCACAATAGAAGAGTTGAACAGACAATGAAGAAGAAAGGTACAGGATAAACTATACAGACGCCTGACTAGTTCTATAATATTGCAAATAGTCGCGAGCGGCAACAGCAACAATTTGGAAAACATTAAAGAAGCCCAATTGTTTCCAAAGAGTTTCCAGTTGTCCGATAATCAAAATATCCTTCTCAATGAATGGAGCCCCAGCTAACTTAAGCTTTCGAGCAAGACAACAATATATGAAATTCGCTAAACTGGAAAATAGTCCTCGAATCACCAACTATGCTGATGATACAAGCTTGCTAGTTTCAAACACAGGGTTATCCATTTAATGCTTGGGAAAGTAAAGTAAAAAAAACACAAAATATTCAGGTGGAGACGAAAATTTTAATTCAATATAAAGATTAAACCTTGCCATTATCCGTGAAAAACAATATAATTGAAATGTCCTCCACGGGACCTCCTACGTCCTCCTCCTCAATCCTTTTGAGGTAATTTTGAATGACTTTTCGGCACATTACGTTTCAATATGTTTCTTAAATATCAACAACATTCCTGGGAATGATGCTCGATAATCTTTGCACTCTCATGTAGATTTTGTAGACAATAAATTGAGTAGCGTAAAAAGTGGTAATGGAAGACACATTGTAATTGATTGGAAGACGGGCTCAAAATCCTTCAATCAATTCTTGGATCATCCTGAATGGATCGCAAATAATCACGAAATTTGAACATCAACTTTTAATCTTTACATGGATACTACGATATAATAATAACTTTTTGGAAGAAAATCGTCATTTCAGATCGATTCTAAAATCTCATTAATCCAACTTTTATGGTTCAACGAAGAGGGAGCACAAACCGTTTGTGATCAGACAAAGACAAATTTTCAGAAATATGTGCATGCTTTTAACAGTAATTGGAACACATAACAGATTAGCGTTGAAACTTGACACTTTTTCTAGTTGTTCCAAGTCACTCGGCCTAAAAAAAGTATGACTCCATCAGAGAAGCATCAAAGAAAATCAATCTCAATTAAGCACTTTAAAGAAGCGGTGTTGTGAATCAATCAGTGTAATGTAAAAAGCCGAATGATCCCTTTTCGAATTAAACCGTAGATGTTATCTTCGATTTTCACGAATCGTCCTACTTAGCAATCAGAGATCCTCGAGCAGACCAGTAATTTAGGGGGTGCTCCGTCCATTTATCTCTTTGAAATCAAATTGCCAAATCCGCCCACTCAATCAATCATGAAAAGAAAAAAATACTTATCTTGACATTTACTGAAAGATATTTATTACGAGTTAGCAAAGAAACCTGTAACTCCACATTTTTCTATTCATTTACATTGGGCACCAACAATTACACGCTTAACGCAATCGCTCACTATTAAATGCCAAAGAATTGGAATCATGGCTAACGCGTGTTTTGTGACAAAAGATGTGCGTTTTGTAATAAAAATTTGCAAAGATTTGCAGAACGCGATTGAAGGATCTCTTTCGACTTAATTACAGGCGAAACTTCACAATTTGCTTGGTTTTATGATAATCTTGCCCCCCACTGAATACATCAATCAATCGACCATTCACTCGACTCGTTATTTTTGTTGCCGCATTTCTAATAGATGCGAGATATAATTAAACGGCGCTGCATAAGGGCTTTTTCATATTGTGCAACAAAAACACGAATCCAAACTGCAAATAACAATTTACATCAAAGACGCCAAATAAATCTAAATAAAATAGTGGAATTTGAAAACGATGTCAAAGGCATTAAATTGCGGCCTGCAACTGCATATAAGAAAGATCAAATCTAGTTTATACTTTTTCAAAGTATTGTAACTCAGCGAGTCTCTATCTACTATAAACGAATCTCAAACGAAGACTCATTCATTTGAACCTATGAATGGATAAATGAAAAATAAATATAACATATTAAATCATTTATAAATATGGGCCTTAATATTTATATAAAAAATCTAATTAAAGAGATCAGTAGAAACTTTTTGTAAAACATTTATTCAACTCTGATTGGCATTGGAAAAATACTGTCCGATTTTTTATTGCTTTTTATCTATTTTTATGATTTAAAATGTTGGCTCTTCTAGAAAATCCTATTCACAATTTCAAAACGACACTCTGTAGATAGAAAATCCGAGCGAAATGTATTGTATAAAAACGTATAAATGTACACCTAAAATTATGCATTTTTTTACTACCTCTTTTCCTTAGTTTTATTTCTAGGGCAATTTTCTGCTTTGTTCAATCAGATTATTCTGCAAAAACTGAAACAACAAAAAAATAGTTGATTCCAGCTACTAAATAAAAAGTTCTGGTAGTTTTTGAACCAAGACACTCAATAATTCCTCACTTCTGCAGAGCAGATCAACACAAGAGACTTACAAAGAAACAAATTCCCAGCGGCTTAAAATTCCTTGTTCCATTCTTCCGATTTTTCAAAAAACCATTGTAAGTAAAATGGAAGTAAGAGGGAAAGGCCGGACGTATTTTGGAAGGATTTCGACAAATTTCGCTTTCTGAGTCAAGAAATACTCGAATTTCCCCACGCATGTTGTTATGACGATTCTGACTGATCGAATTTTCAACGAATTCTGTGGCTCAAGTGGTCCTTGAAAAATTTCGAAAAAAGCAGCGTAGTGTTTAAGACGATATTGCATCTAAAAAAAAAAAGCATGCAAATCTAAAACTTTTAATAATTTACTTATAACTTTAATAAGACTTTTTCAGACAACTGCCAAAAGTTACTTATCCATGGTTCACTTTCTAAAAAGACCATTTAGTTCTCTCTGAAATGATGTAAAAATGAGCGTTCTTCCTCATTTGGCTTCCGAGAAATGAGCAAAAAGGAAACGGAAAACATGAAATTTTGGCATAATCTTGCACATTAGTCTCTGATATTCAAATTTCGCCTTCTGTTCATGTTGTTATGACTGAATCGAATTTTCAATTCTCTATGCAACGATGTCAAAAAGGAATTATGTAGCTCAAATTGTTCTTGAGAAACTTCTAAAAGAGCAGCGTGATGTTTGAGTCGATTTTGCAAATCAAAAAACACGTAAATATGAAACTTCTTGAAATCAAGAGTTTTTTGAGACAACTGCCAATATTTCCTTATCGATAGTTCAATTTCTAAAACGTCCATTTAGTTCTTTCTGAAATCATGTAAAAATGAGGGTTTTTCCTCATTTGGCTTCCGAGAAATGAGCAAAAACTCGACGCAAAACATGAAATTTTGGAAAAATCTTGCAACTAAGTGTCTGATATTTAAATTTTGCCTTGTGGGTCAAAACTATTCGCATTTCCTCACTCATGCTGTGATGACTGAATCGAATGTTCATTTCTCTATGCAACGATGCCAAAACGAATTATGTAGCTCAAATGGTTCTTGAGAAACTTCTAAAAGAGCAGCGGCATGTTTGAGTCGATTTTGCAACTCAAAAAACACGCAAATTGGAAACATCTTGAAATCAAGAGTTTTTTGAGAAAACTGCCAATATTTCCTTCTCGATAGTTCAATTTCTAAAAAGACCATTTAGTTCTCTCTGAAATGACATAAAAATAAGGGATCTTCCTCATTTGGCTTCCGAGAAATGCGCAAAAACGGAACGCAAAACATTAAATTTTGGCAAAATCTTGCAACTAAGTGTCTGATATTGAAATTTCGCCTTCTGGGTCAAAACCATTCGAATTTCCTCACTCATGTTGTTA